AGGGGTACCCTTTGAAGGGTCCCCCTTATTCTACCTATGAGTCTTAGGCATACCCCATGTTTCTACTTCATGTGGCCAAGCACTTCGAAGGGTTTTGCGGAGTGAGACAGTGGTACTGAAAGCATGCCTAACCCTAAACCCTAAACCCTAAACCCTAAACCCTAAACCCTAAACCCTAAACCCTAAACCCTAAACCCTAAACCCTAAATGGGTTTTGGGGTTAGACTCGGAGAAGAGATGCAGATCAGGCACATGCCGAAAAGCTTTGAGATGATTCTCACGCTTTCTCGCATCCTTCATGCCACGGCTCAGGGAGCTTTGGGATCGAAGGTTTAGGGTTTAGGGTTTAGGGTTTAGGGTTTAGGGTTTAGGGTTTAGGGTTTAGGGCCTTTTGTCCCAACCCATTTTTTCTAGGTGCGGGCTGCATTCCTGGGTTCCCCTACTACCCCCCTCTATGCTACCCCCTTGCGGATCATTAGGCCCAAGTAAGGCTATGTAAGGGGGGAACTTAGGGGGGGGTAGTATAGAGGGGGGTAGTAGGGAAACCCATGCTGCATGCCTTTACGCACGGCTGTTCATGTCTTCATGCCAATTAGGGGTTGGTAGCTTTTAGTGTGAGCTCGATTAGACTCTTGGCTGCCCCCGAAACTTTCCCCTCTGAAGAGATCTTCCTAACTATGATCCCAAGTAGGGTCCGTAGGGACACGAGTAAATGCCCACAAGGCCTACGCAAAACCAGTACTTGCAGGGGCAACCCAGCACACTCCTTCAGCGGAGCTTCAGTGACCAAGCTTTTGCTGCTCATAACCCAGGCTTCAGGAGGTCAGGGTTTAGGGTTTAGGGTTTAGGGCTTAGGGTTTAGGGCTTAGGGTTTAGGGTTTAGGGTTTAGGGTTTAGGGTTTAGGGTTTCGGGTTTCGGGGGTAGGGTTTAGGGTTCTGGTTTCGGGCTTAGACCTGAAGTGCTCAAGAGACCCATGATCCCAGAACCTACACCGAACAACCCCAAACCCTAAACCCTAGACGACTCGAGAACCATGAGCCCAACCTTAAACCAAAAACCCGAACACCCTCGCATCTGCCTGTGATTTGGGGTGCTGACTAAACTGCCCTAAGCCCTAAGCCCTAAGCCCTAAGCCCTAAGCCCTAAGCCCTAAGCCCTAAGCCCTATGCCCTAAACCCAGAACCCAAAACTCAAAACCCTGAACCCCAATCGGCAACCAAAAAGGCACCCGAATCTAGACCCAAGAGTCACCTAGGGATAACACTCTGCCCTTTTTGGTTTCACGGGGCTTATAAGGGACCCTAAACTCTGGGTCCTAGTTACGCTAAACCCATTGGCGAAAAAAAAATAATAGGTTCCCTGACCTTCAAATGAATAAAGCCTCTACGGCCCCTGACACGCCGAAGGTCCGAACAAGGCCCCGAGAGACCCCAAAAGCCACCAAAAGGCTTCAAAAGGCTTCAAAAGGCCCCCTAAAAGAAGGGGGACCCCAGGATGCCCGCACCCGCAACGAAAAACGCGACTCCCGCTGGACTCGATGGTTTTTTCCTTCATTTTACCCCGGCAGGGCCAGGAAAGGCTCCAGGAAGCCCCAAGAGCCACCAAAAGGCTTAATTGAGGCCCTTAAAGAAGGGGAATCCAGGAGCAGGCACAAAGGGTTTCCCTGACCTTCAAATAAACAAGGACCTCTACGGGCCCTGACACGCCGAAGGCCCGAAAAGGGCCGAGGCTACCCCCAACCCCAGCTTAAACCCAAACAGCGCAACTTTAAAAAAATCAAAGCAAGGATCAGAGCACAAGAAAATAAATTCATAAACCCTAAACCCTAATAGAGTATAGTTTCGGTGGCCGGGGTGGGTTGACGGGCAACGCGAGCGCGCGGCCCGGGGTGTTTCACACCCGAGCGCGCGCCCTCCCCTGACACAGCCTAAACCCTAAACCCTAAACCCTAAACCCTAAACCCTAAACCCTAAACCCTAAACCCTAAACCCTAAACCCAGGGGAATAAGGGCCTCCGATGGGTCCTAGGAATTGAGGCGACCAAGACCATTTGCATACCAGACTCTTAGGGATCATCGGGTGGAATTTCTGGGCTTGGGATGCTACCCCTCTAGCAGTCCTTAATCGGGATTCTGCCTAAAGCCTAAAGCCTAAACCCTAAACCCTAAACCCTAAACCCTAAACCCTAAACCCTAAACCCTAAACCCTAAACCCTAAACCTAACTTCTTCAAACCCTACACTCAAATCCTTCATCCTAGATCCCCAAGCCACAACCCCGAAGCCTGCCCTAGCCCGAAACTTTCCCTCAACACCCTCAACACCCTCAACACCCTCAACGCTCTCAACACCCTCAACCGCCTCAACCGCCTCAACCGCCTCAACCGCCTCAACCGCCTCAACCGCCTCAACCGCCTCAACACCCCAAACTCTCAACCCTCAAAATTCCAAACTCGGGGGATGCCGGTCCTTTTGACTCGACGCTCCTCGGGGCTGGCACGTCTCTTGCAAGACGGTTGTGGGTGTAGAGTGTATAGGGCTTCGGGTTTCTAAGGTTTAGGGTTTAGGGCTATGGGGTTATAGGGTTATAGGATGGTTAGGGTTTAGGGTTTAGGGCTAGGGTTTAGGGTTTAGGGCTAGGGTTTAGGGTTTAGGGCTAAGGTTTAGGGTGCCAAAGGTTGAAAGGCCTCTTGGACGGACGTTGCCTTAGACGTTTAGGTCACGTGACACTCTTGAAGTCGGGAGGCATGGGGGTTTAGGGGGAATCCATCGGGTTTAGGGTTTAGGGCTTAGGGTAGGGCTTTAGGCCTTAAGGGCGTGGGATGAGCTGAAAGTGATCTTGTCATTTCAGACATGGACAGATCTGCTCCATAATGAACATAGGCATCCCTTTTGCAAAGGCCTTTGCCGTGTGGGTTTTGCTGGGTAGGGAATGTGGGTGTACGGCTATGGGGTTTCGGGTTTAGGGCATTGGCGATTTTGGGGTGGGCGCGGGGAAGGAGGTGGGGGTACAGGGGAGGGGTGGATGCGAGGTTGCTTCTTGTTGCTTGTTCCACGCTTTCTAGGACATGCCGTAGGGATTTTTAAAAACTGATTCCAAATGATCCTGAACCCGAAACCTAAATCCTAAACCCTCTAGGAGTATGTTTACGAAACCTAAATCCTAAACCCTCTAGGAGTATGTTTACGAAACCTAAGTCCTAAACCCTCTAGGAGTATGTTTGCGCAAACTCTGCCGGGCACTCAGATCTTGGCCGTGGGGGGGTTGGTCTAAGCTTAGGGCCCCCATGAATTTCTAACATCTCCCTTAGACTTTAGGGACAAACCCTAAACCCTAAACCCTAAACCCTAAACCCTAAACCCTAAACCCTAAACCCTAAACCCTAAACCCTAAACCCTAAACCCTAAGCCCTATACTAAACCCCAAGGGTTTAGGGTCTAGGGTATAGGTTTTAGGGGGCACCCTCTCATCAGCACACAACCTGAAACCATGTTGTGGTTTAGGGCTTCGGGTTCAGGACACACCCGAGTAACCTGAGATTCTTGGCTAAAAGGGATTATAAGGGAACCTAAGCCCCCAACAAGAGTGGAATAAGGGCCTACTCTGGGTCCTAGTTGCCCTAAACCCTAAACTCCAAACCCCAAACCCTGAACCCCAAATCCGAAATCCTAAACCCTAAACCCTAAACCCTAAACCCTAAACCCTAAACCCTAAACCCTAAACCCTAAACCCTAAACCCTAAACCCTAAACCCCAACAAATGAAACATAGGGCCTACTGTGGGTCCCCCAAAAAAGCAGGGGAATAAGGGGCCTTACTCTGGGTCCTAGTACTTGCGCCCAAGCCAAGCCACCACCCATGACTTTCAGAAGCTTCGCCATCTTGGCGTCGAGCTGCTTCAGGTCCTTGAGAGGTGGAGGCTGAGGACTCCAATCCCTCAACCCTAAACCCTAAACCCTAAACCCTAAACCCTAAACCCTAAACCCTAAACCCTAAACCCTAAACCCTAACCCCGCCGGGATGGGCCAGGGTTTGGCCTGAGATCAGCAGACAGTGTGAGAATAGGGATCCCAGGATGATTTATGATTTAACGTATTCTTCGTAAAGGGAACAACAATCAAGGGTAGCTACATGGTCCCTAAACCCTAAACCCTAAACCCTAAACCCTAAACCCTAAACCCTAAACCCTAAACCCTAAACCCTAAACCCTAAACCCTAAACCCTAAACCTGGGCCCTGAGAAGGGGATCCCCTTATGGACCCCTTACATAGCGTGGAGACATTCTAAGGGCCCGTACACCAGAACCCTTTAAAGGAGGCTCGGGACCACATTTTGGGACCTTTTTTTTGGGCCCATGAAACTAAGAACCCTTTAAAGGAGGCTCGGGACCACATTTTGGGACCATATTTAAGGGCCCATGAAACTACCCTCAGAGAAAAGGGAAATCAGCTACGTAAGGTAGGGATTCTCTACCTTAGGCTCGGGACGTTCCCTCTTATACTTGACAGTCCTTAAGGGGCTGATAGTAGGGGCTACTATAATCCCGCCTTAAGGACTGGAAGTATATGGGGGAACATCCCATAAACACCCTGAACCCCAAGCTTTGCTGTTTTGTTGTGTTAAAACACCGGGATGCGAGCTCGCAAAGACGGGAATAAGGGTATGTCTCGGCGGCCTAGCTCTATGCTTGGCTGCACTTAGGAGGGTAGCTAAAACTTAAATTTTTAGCTGGCTTCTTAAGAAACCCAATAAACCCAAAAAGGCTAAGGATCTAAAGTTACAGCAAAGCAACACAAAGTATGCACATTACTTGTGAAGGGCCATGGTGCTTGTTAACCCAATATCACGCACACTGAACCCTGACCGCAACCCTAAACCCTAAACCACCTCCCTCCCTGGCGTCAAAGCCGGTCTCGTTAGAGCCCGAGTCAGAAGGAATGTGTGATGGAGTTGTGAACGTCCTAGCTTCAGTACAAGCTCCGCCTTTCTCTGATCATGAACTCAATCTGGCAAGTTGTCCATCTGGCCGTGAAAATAGTGCCACGTATCCGCATCTTGTTCTACATGATGCCTGCAAGGAACCACCACGAGAAGAACAAGAAACAAACGGAACAGCTGCTCGAAGAGCCTCACGTGCCTTCCTTTGCTTAGAGGGTTATATCGGGTTCTTGAGGGAGGGGGTTCGTGGGGGTAGGTACCTTTCTAGGGAAGCTAGGGAAGCTTCGGGAGCCTTACGGAGGATTGGGGAGTATTAGGGAATCTTGGGATACACACCCCCCTTGAACACCCCTGCCTTAAGAATCCTATAGCACACTTGCAGCCTTCTCTGCTGACATGGACAACCTTAGGCCTACACTGAAAACTAGACCCGCAACTCAAAACCCCGAAACTTTGGGACGTTCCCCTTTTCCAAATCGTCCTCCATAGGGAGGGGGTATTATCTCAAAACCCCGAAACTTTGGGACGTTCCCCTTTTCCAAATCGTCCTCCATAGGGAGGGGGTATTATACTCCCTACTAAGAACTGCTAGTATAGGGGGGGAGCATCCCAACCGAAACTTCGTAACTTTGCATGCCGCAGATTCTGCATGCATTGCGACTTGATCGATTGCCCGCGCAGGTCCCTTGCAGCGCATGATGCCATCAATGAACTCCTCTAAGGTGACCTCGGAAAGTCAAGAAGAAGAGAAAGACCCTAACGTCGCCGAAAGTCATCATCAACTCCTAAACCCTCAACACCCAACGGAAAAAACAACTAAACTAAACAAAGACTAAAAGACCACCAAAAACCTCCAACTCCTCCAAAAGCCCTAAACACCCCTAAGCTGGCATGATAGGGGTTGGAAGGTTGGGGGGTGCGTTGTGGGGCTCCCAAGCTCCAATACTCCAGTTGTTTTAGGGTTTGGGGTTTGGGGTTTGGGGCTAAGGCTAAGGGTTTAGGGTTTAGGGCTTGGGGTTCAGGCCAAGGACTTAAGCTTTAAGGCTTAGGGCTTAGGGCTCAGGGCGGGTTTTGGGTTTTGGGTTTCTCCGAGTTCCGCCCCCCCCCCCCCACCCCCAGAAAAAAAAGAAAATCAAGGAATAGCCCTTAATTCTTAAGTCAGGGGGTATCGGAGTCTCACCACAAAGTCATGTCTGCCTGTCTCTTGCGATAATTAAAGAAGAGGCAGCGCGCGGCCAAGCACTAAAGACTTCCACAATTCTGAGGGTAGGGTTAGGGTTCAGGGTTAAGGGTCAAGGGGTAAGGGGTGAGGGTTTAAGGTTTGGGGCTTCGGGTTTTTTGAGCTCCTTACATCACACTCCGGTCCGACCCTCGTACGTTAAGAACTCATCGCTAAGACTTACTGGGGGGGCTCAGGGTGTCAACGCACGCGGGCACGTGACATTATCACAAGCTGGCAAGCGCAGATCGATAGAAGGTTTCCCAAATACCGTTCTACTTGAGTAAGCTCCCATATGACCATCCCTAGACCCTATAGTTGTCCAGCATCCTAGGGGAAGGAAAAGTTAACCTGCGGGGTCATACAGGGATGAAAATAGCCCAGCAAGGTGAAGGTAACCTACTCTACTACTAAGTAGACAGTTCCTCGCGCGTGGTCCGGGGGGGGGGGGGGGGCCTAAAAGTTTGGAAGGTTGGAACTCAAAATACTAGACCCCACGGGTGGCCTGGGAATAAAAAGGGTGCCCCAATTTGGTTTACAGGGGCTTCTAAGGCAACCTATGAACCCTAAAAAAAGCGGGAAGAAGGCCCCACTCTGGATCCTAGCCTGTACATGCAGCGGCCTGTGTCGTTCGTTACATACGGATCTTGCGGAATTTGGCGGTTCTGAAATTTTAGGGGTTCTGAAATTTTAGGGCTTAGGGCTTAGGGTTTAAATTTTAGGGCTTAGGGCTTAGGGTTTAAAGGGTTTCGTGTCAGATGCCTCGCCATCGCCATTGTCCAGGAGGTGGAACAATGCCGCTCCTTCATGAACATCCAAATCCAACGTCTGGAAGTAGGCCGCGATCCTTACGGCTGAGGGTTTAGGGTTTAGGGTTTAGGGTTTAGGGTTTAGGGTTTAAGGATCGTTTGGGCACCTTAAGGGTCCTTGTACCTTATTGTACACTTGGGCCCCAAGAGTCCCAAAAGAGGAAGTACTGTAAGGCCCAAGTACTCCATGTTTATGTACATGGACCCTTAGGGGAAGAAAGGGTGGCGAACAAAAAGGCAGTTTCCCTCGTCTGTTCCCTACACCCCCTCCCCACAAGACACACGCGTGAGAACCCCAAATCGGGAGGTCTGAGGATGCCCGCGTCCCGTCCAGCATCCAAACCACAAAACTCCTCAAACGATGAAGCGCCTGTCATTGATTTATCATATGCCCGTCAGGCAGATCGCTATGCTCAAACCTGAAGCCTGCAGCCTAAACACTACATCCAACGCAAGCCACGAAATCTGAAAGTCTGCCACGTCCAGAGTCCCGTTTGGGGATCTCATTCTACTTCAAAGCCTTGTTCCCCCCCGCCCCCTCAACCCAAAAGGCCCCACATGGAGGGAGCTTCTGTGAACAATGCATGCGTCCCATTCTTCTCTCATGTTAGGACTTGCTCGACCTCGTGAATCCTCCCACTGTGCTTCGAAGCATCTTTTGATTGGAGAGAATCTCGTTCATCCTCGCCTCTGTGATGATGCCGTCGCCGGAATCATCAATAGCTCTGAAGATGATCTCCAACCTGGCTGTTGCAAAGAAGCTTGTGGCTGCACATTGCATGTAAGGCACTTCGACCCGCAAAAGCCATGCCACCTTGTATCATTGTATTTCTGTACTGCTGCTACACCATGTCAGCAAACATCACAACGAAATCAACGCATGCCGAATCCTGGCCAAGAAGCTTCTCCACATACTCTGCCTTTTTGCGCAGCCTGTCAACCACCAGATGTTCCGCATCATTTTGAGCTGCATCTAACCTTGGCTGACTTCTGAACCCCTCCTAAGAGTCCAACTTTTAGGCTCCTTATTGTAGTTTCTTCTAAGACCCAAAAGGTTAAAGTCCTAAGAGCCAGCCAGAAGAAAGCCAAGGAACGTATCCTTCAAGAACACAGCGCTGATCACCCGAATGACAGCGAAAGCGATGACGGTAACATATAACACCTGGGCTCTGTCTTGCGATTTAGGGTTTAGGGTTTAGGGTTTGGGATTTAGGGCTTGGGGTTTGGGGTTTGGGGTTTGGGGTTTAGGGTTTAGGGCTCATAAGGTTGAGGGTTTAATGGATTGCTTGCTTCAAGAAATGGATGTTGCCACATCGAGTCCTAATGCTACTTGGGGCTTCGGGCCAAACGAATTAGAATAGGGTTTCTGGGAGGGGGGGGGGGAGGGGTAATATAACTGGGACTTTCATGAAGAATGTTAAGAATCTGGGGTTTAGGTAGGGCATGGAAGCTCAACCATAAAAATCCCGAGGGCTCCAAGTATACAAACAACACCTACATTGGGGTCTAAAGGCTGTAAACAAATGCCTACTTTGGAGCTATTTGGAGCCTCAGGGCCAGGGACCAGCAAATAATTTTAGTAATTACTCCGACCGCTATAGTGTTCACGGTTTGGATTGTGGGCTCAGGGTTTGGGCTTCGCGTTTTGGTTGCAATGCCACCAAGTAGCAAAAAATATCACGTAGGCGTGGCTTACCTTCTCCAGCACCGGCCGTGAGTTTGTGGGCCAGTTCCTGTTACAGGGTTCTAAGGGCAGGGGGGTTCACGGGCCAAGGTTCCGAAATACTCCCCAATACTCCCTAAGCTTCCCTAATGTCTGTCTTGTCCGACTCTCTCATCAACTAGCTAAGCCCTAAACCCCTAGACCAGACCGTGACACCCTCAACCCGAAACCCATACCTGAATCCCTATTTCTTAGATGTACCAAACAATAAAACCCTGAGCCCCCTAAACCCTAAAGCCTAAACCCTAAAACCTAAACCCTAAACCCTAAACCCTACAACCCTAAACCCTAAACCCTAAACCCTAAACCCTAAACCCTGAACCCCAAACCCTAAACCAAAAGAAAGAAAAAGTCTTCTGCTGGCCATGCGGGGTTCCCAGCAAATGTGATTTCCTTGGTAGCCCAGTAAGCATACTATCATGCGGGTTTAGGGTTTAGGATTTAGGGTTTAGGATTTAGGGCTTAGGGTTTAGGATTTAGGGTTTAGGTTGTACCCATTTTGGGGGATTGGTTACTGGACAAGGAACCTTGAACAAAAAAACGGCAAAAGTGTGCCTCTGAGCTGCCAAGTTGCGTATAGTGTATACATCGAGCGGTACGCCGTTCCGTATTTGAGCCAAATCACTTCCTTGGTTAAGTGCTGCCCAAACCCTAAAGCCCAAACCCTAAACCTTAAACCCTAGACCCTAAACTCTAACCCAAAACCCTCAACCCTGAACCCTCAACCCTAATGCCTAAATCCTAATCCTCAAACCAAAAGCCCAAGCCGGTAACTGTAGCAGCTGTACCATGGCCTGGGTCGAAATTCTCTTTTCAGCTTGCAAACTTTTCGGGCTTAGGGATTAGGGGATACATGAAGACTCACATGTAATGTAGGTGGCTGAAAAAAAAGAACAGGCTTTTGGGGAGTGCTATTGTATAATTCTGAAGGGGCTGTACGGAAGAGCCAGAAGACTCAAATGTATTTCCTTTTTGGGTTCGCTATTCTTTTCCACTGAGGAGTCTAGCACGCTACCCCAAAAGGAACGACATCCGAGTCTTCAAGTAGCGCTTTCAGGTAGGCTTTAGGGTAGGGTGCAGCAGGATATGTTGCCTCGCCAGCATGAGCTGCTTAGGGCAGGGTAGCTATAGCGCGCTTCTCAATCGCTACAGCCTTGCAACCGTTGGGCCAATACCCGTCTTCTGACGACCCATTCACAAACAATAATGCCGAGCAGGGAAAGTGACTCTCAAAAGGGATGCAACGGATGATCCTGAAAGTGCTCTAGATGAGGAGGTATTGTTCCGATTCTGTTGAGGCACGCCTTTCCACAAAATCCTACTGACTGACGCTGGATTTGAGGTGTAGTCCCTAAACCCTAAACCCTAAACCCTAAACCCTAAACCCTAAACCCTAAACCCTAAACCCTAAGCCCTAAGCCCTAAACCCTAACTCCTAATTTCCATACCAAGCATCTTTGTCCTCGAAACTCGAAGAATCATCGATGAGGAAGCTCTGCAGCAGATTCCTAATCAAAGATCATGCTAGGGAACCCGACCGCGCAAAACACGTTGAAATCACCTTTATGAACTCCTTGCTCCCATTGCCAGCGCTGCCCCGCTGCTCCAGCTCAAGAATCAAGGCAGTCTAATTGTTCTGACAGATTGGGGTTTATAGGGTGTAAGCGTACCAAACCAGCAGCCCATGATTTAGAATCAGCCGGGGACCTTAAGTCTTCCTAGACCCAGGAGTAACCTAGGAATAAGCAGGATGCAACCCTAAAACAGGGACATGAAGTAGGGTATATATTTCTTGTACCCCCAAAAGGACACCAGGTATATACAATCACCAATTTTAAAAAGGAACCTTATATACACTCACCAATAACAGTAATATAAACCCTGTTTCACATAGGGGCCTACTCCGGGTTGTTAGCTTCTTCTGCCCCAAGTTCACCAAGGATGCGAAATCCACCCTAAACACTGAACACCGTAGGGCGTGGAATTATTCGAATAGGGTTTGGGAGGTTGTTGTCGTCACAAAATATGAAGGGATCATAAGGGAATAATACTAGTAGTTATTCCCGACCCCTATATTTGTCTTCTGCAGCACATTTGTAATGGCAAGGCTGAAGCACCCGAAAACTCACGCTCTAAGACCCTAAGCCAGGTTGAACCAGAACCTAAATACTCGGAATTACTCATTTGGTAGCCCAGTAACCATACTATAATAATGGCACCCTTCTTTGGGTTGGTTACTTTATAAGGGAACCTTGAACCCCAAAAAAGGGAAAACGGTACCACTGGGCTACCAAGCTAAAGACATGACTGTGAAATATTGGTGTTCTAGGACTGCATCCGAAACCAACAGCGAGACACTGAAGCCACAGGCTTTTGGACCCTAAACCCGAAACCCTAAACTCCAAACCCTAAACTCCAAAACCCTTCACCTTGAACACTAGACCCTAAACCCTAAACCCTAAACCCTACTCGTAGGTTGCTCGCTGAAAACGCACGCGCTGGAGCGAGCTTGGCCCTTCAAAGGACCTTCGATGCTAGCCACGTCAAGCCAGGGCGCCCCATGATCAGTGCACCCATCGTCATGAACCTTGTTCAAGGCTTCTGGTTTATGATTTAGGGTTTGCAGTAGGGTTTAGGGTTTCGGGTTTAGGGTGTAGGGTTTAGAGTTCACGCGTTGATCTTCGCGCTTAAGGTTGAGGGCTTTTGCCGCTGACGTGTGCTCTCGGGGATTGGCCCTCGACCTCCAGAACCCTGTAGGCCCTCAAGCGTCCTGGGAGGCGTGGCCGCGCAACCCGGTTTAGGGTTTAGGGTTTAGGGTTTAGGGTTTAGGGTTTAGGGTTTAGGGTTTAGGGTTTGGCGTTTAGGGTTTAGGCTAACGCGTTCCGTTACGGATCCGAAGGTTTCGGCAGGTTTCCCGGTTTTCGGCCTTTTGGGTTGGGGGGGGGGTTGGGGGGGGGGGGGTTGGGGGGGGGTTGGGGGGGGGGTTTGGGGGGGGTTGGGGGGGGGTTGGGGGCAGCATTTTTGCCAAGGGATGTTTGACGTTTCTGGAACAAGACACGAGGTCACAAGCGTTCGTGCCCTTGGCGACAATGCCCAAAACACTGGTATTTGCAGCATTTTTGCTTCTCTACACAACATATTATGGAAGAAGACAGGCGGTCACAAGCACTAATGCCTTTGGCGAAGATGCCACAACACTGGTATGTGCACGCGTTACCGGGTTTAGGGTTTAGGGTTTAGGGAGAAACCCTAGTCTGCTCCCCTTATTCTTAAACCCCTTTTCTACCTGCTAACATGAGATGCCCACCATACACTATCATAGCACTATCATGGGGGTATTTGATATTAGGGCGTAGGGGGGGCTCAATATTTGGAGGAGGGGCTTGGGCCCTTAACACCCCCACAAACCCCCCTCCAGAACCAAGGCGCTGGGGCTTGGCTGCTTAAGGAGACTCTGATTCAGTGGTTTAGGGTTTAGGGTTTAGGGTTAAGGGTTTAGGGCAGTGGTGTCCAGGATCCGCCGACCCTGGCGGCGTGTTGGATGGGTTTCTGGAGGTGAAAGCCTCCCTCTTCCCCTCCTTACCCCCCCAAAACGGGGGGAGGGGGGGGGGGTACCCCGGCAGCTTTTCCGTGGAGGAACAGGCCACCCACACCGCGTAAACTCATGGACCATAGGCGGTTTCGCACAGGGTATAGGGGCTCTTTTGGAAAAAACCCTACCCACCCCCCCCCCCCCCCATTCCTACCCCCCCCTACCCCCCAATCCACCAAACCCCAAACCTTAAACTTGTTCTCCTGCGGGGTCGGCGGCTTGAGCCGGAGGCTCTTAAATTTCAGGTTTAGGGTTTAGCCTTAAAACCCAAGTTTGAGGGCTCAGCAAACCTAGAGTCTGAAGCGGGATCCCTTCCGGGCGCAAACGCTCCAAGCAGGGTGGATCAGGGTAACCCTAAACCCTAAACCCTAAACCCTAAACCCTAAACCCTAAACCCTAAACCCTAAACCCTAAACCCTAAACCCTAAACCCTAAAAGGGGAGCTGGCATCTGCAGTCTGCATTCAAATGCTCCAAGCAGCACCCCAAGCAGCACCATGGCCCAGCAAAGCGACGGCAGAAAGCACTGGCCTCACACGCTCTGGCTTTGAGGGGCTTCGGGTTCAGGGGTACTTGGGTAGCCCAGGAACTATATTACAAATAAGGGCACCCTTTTTTGGGGTGGGTCAAAGACTGGCCATTTTTTATGGGTTCTGGGGGGCCTAAACCCTAAACCCTAAACCCTAAACCTTAAACCCTAAACCCGAAACCCTAGGCTACTTTTTGTTACATACCTTGGGGGTCCCTCTGGGGGCGCGGCAGCACCGAGGGCCTGTTCCTAGTAGCTTTCGGGTCTAGAAGAGTAAGTTGGGACTTAGGGCTTCGGGCGTAGGGTTTAGGGTTTAGGGTTTAGGGTTTAGGGTTTAGGGTTTAGGGTCTAGGGCACCCCACAGGGAAGTGCGCCGAAGTTGTTGGGTGTGTCTCTTCTGCCGATTGCAAGGTGAAAGCTGAACGCCCTGAAGCTCTGAAGCCTAAGGCCCGGAAAGGCCAAACCCACAAACCCCAGAGCCCCAAGGCGAAAAAAACTGGTTACAAACAACCCTAAGCCCTGAAGCTCTGAAACCTTCAGGCCCAAATCCTGATGCCCTCAAAGCCGGGACTCAACCCTGGCTAATCCTAAACCCTAAACCCTAAACCCTAAACCCCAAACCCGAAACCCTAAACCCTAAACCCTAAACCCCCCGGCCAGTCGAGAAGCAAGCTTTCACCAGCAACCGCAGCCCGCGAAAGAGGCGAAAACTTCGCATCATGCGAAAGGCGCGAAGCGACTTCAAGGCTCTGACCAGCCTGGGAGTTTTAAGGCTTGGAGGGTTTGGGGTTTAGGGCCAGGGTTTAGGGTTTAGGGCCTGGGAGTTTAGGCTTAGAGTGCCTGGGGTTTCGGGTCTGGGGTTCTAGGGTTTAGGGCTAAGGTTTAGGGTGTAGGGTTTAGGGTTTAGGGTGTATAGGTTTGAGGGGTTATAATTGGGTTGCTAAGTACAATGAACCTCCAAGCAGGGTTTAGGATTTAGGGCTTCGTAGGGAACCTAAATTGCCTTGGTAGCCCAGTAACCATATTATCAGGGCACCGTTGGTTGCTTCATAATGCAACCTTGAACCGAAAACAAGGGGAAAGGGTACCACTGGGCTACCAAATTTCACGAACGGAGGGAAGTGCGTGCGTTTGTCCTTCCCCGACACTCCTGTGACTATCCAAAACCCTGCAAGCTCCAAATGCCGAATGCCTGCACTCCTCCCTCGTGCCTGAGAAGCACGATGTCTTTGGGAACCACATCGCCCGATTCAACTTGTAAGCTGAAATAGAAATCGATCAGGCCCAAGATCACCTCAGAGAAGGGCAAATGGTGAAGTTCTAAAGGCTCTTGAAGAGATTTGCAATACCCCTGAGCTCTACTACCCAAGAAGGTCGAAGGCTCCCTTCTTCATCACTGGAGGTTACCACCTTCGACCGTAACGGTTTCTTGCACCCAAGTTTTAACCTCTAGAGTGTGTAGTAGGAGCCCATCACCATGACGTCTGATCTCAAAGGATAAAGCCCTATAAGCCATGAACCCTATAGCCCTGAAACCTTGAACCCTAAACACAAACAAAACGGTAAACGCGGAAGCCATACATGGACTCCTGGCAAGAATGTGGGGCTCAGACAAGCTTCCTCGTCTAAGTTCCCTAGATCAGGTCCTTTTGGAAACCTGCACTATTCTAACTCCTAAACCCTAAACCCTAATACAATCTAAGGGTTTTGGGGGCTGCAGAGCCACAAGCTATGAGGCGGCTGGACCCTAAACCCGTAACCCTTAACCCTGAACCCTGAACCCTAAACCCTAAACCCTTAACTGCAGCCATGGCACAAGCACCACGTCCAACCAGTTCGTCCATTCCTTTCGGAATTGCGACCTCTCCTTGGTTTGCTGCTTTGTGGGTTTAGGGTTTAGGGTTAGGGTTTAGGGTTTAGGGTTTAGGGTTCAGGGTTTATGGTTTAGGGTTTAGGGTTTAGGGTTTAGGGTTGGGGTTTAGGGTCTGTAGGGCGTATGTTATAGCACAGTAAATCCTGCAGCAGTATCCCTAAAACGCATTGTTTGGGCGAACTTGTCAGCAAGTTGAAGCAG